TAGATAGATAGATAGATAGATAGATAGATAGATAGATAGATAGATAGATAGATAGATAGATAGATAGATAGATAGATAGATAGATACTTAAATAGATAGATAGATAGATACTTAAATAGATAGATAGATAGATAAAAAAATATCGTTAAATATGTATCTTTTCCATTGTTGTGTATATATATATATATATATTATATAAACAGACGTTTTTATATATCTAACCCTAACGTTGCATTATACAGAGCGGCAGAGCGAAGCAGATAGCGGCGACAGCAAGCCGCGTAACGCTCCCACGCTGAATCATAAATTCTCCATCTCTAACATACTGAACCTTGACGATAGCTCGACGTCGGCGCAGACGGACGACGATCGGCCGACGGGTGAGTGCACTCACGTCTTCAATGTGGTGCGTCCTCGATCCTCGATCGAACCATTTTTTAGGCTGGTGGGCCCACCCATCTTTGAGCTATAATCCGATCACTGCGAACTTCTACATCGAGCATTAGCAGACTTCTACATAGCAGACTTTATTAAAGAAGGCACTGCTGTTGGCCTGGGTCCCGTCTAATATAACCAGTCTAATATATATATATATATATATATATATATATATATATATATATATATATGGGTATGTCTGTGTGTGATGGGCGACTGTGACGTTGTGCGCAGGTAGTGTGACGCTCAGACGTACTCACATAACCTGGCTATACTCACCTAGCGCATACCCACAACATCCAGCAACACACACAGAGAGACACGCGTCTAGCACATACACACGCACAGCAGGTACGCTACACGTCTAGCCCACGCCTGCACCTAGCACATACACTACACTACACTACACTACACTACACTACACTACACTACACTACACTACACTACACTACACTACACTACACTACACTACACTACACTACACTACACACGAGGAGCATAAGCCGTGCAGCAGTGAGCTCGCTACTGCTACAGCTACCTACTGCAATTCCTCGCGGGTACTAGCGATCAGGGCTGACGAGTTGCCCTAGACTCGGGTCTCGCCGGATCGGAGCAGGCTGGAAGAGCTGAAGGCTCTAGGAAGGAAAGCCAGACAGAGGAGCCGTCACAGGGAGGTGGCACGACGCGAAGGAGGAAGCACGTGGAGTTTCGTGAACTTCAAGAGAAGGAAGAGCAGGAGAAGGTGTCTGGTGTCTCGTGGACCGAAAAGGAAGAGGTGCTGAGTACGAGTAGGAGAAGTAGGAACAGAGGCAGGAGGAGGAGTCGGGAAAGAGAAGGTAGAGGTGGTTACATGACGCTTCGAGGACTAAAGCGAATTGAATTCGAGTGAGCACACGGCGGACCTCGAACTTTTCCACGGAAAACATTGAAAAGCAAAAGCTTGGTTGTTACCGTCTGACCGGCTGCTCGTCTCGGTAGACGCCGGTACGGTTGTTAACCGTTGCTTGGTAACGTTTGCAGACTTACCAAAGAAGCAGACGCCTTGCTGTGACAAACCCCATCACTTACTGCTATGGAGGTGGGCATGTGTGATGTGGACAATGACGAGGCGATATTTGGAAACCAGTTCGATCCTCTAGAACCTGCGTATAACGACGATTACGGCGACGATGACGACGACGAGGACGACGACGTTGGCGATGGGGATTTGGTTTCCGCCAGTACGAGCGCGTCTGCGTGCTACGCGGGCGATCTGCAATCTCGCGGTACGTGAATTTACATAGCCGGCTCGCTTACAAAGTAATGTAATCTTATCTAAATAAAATCTAATCTTATCTTATCTAATTCATATCTAAATCTAATCTAAATCTTATCATAATGAAGTCTAGAGAACTGATTTACTAAATTTCTACTTGCTTTGCTATTGCTATTAATAAATATATACATTTTAATATATGATAATAATATACAATAAGTAAACTCGATATTCTTAAGCAATGAAATGGCTGCGTCGGATGTGCTTTTGAAAATGTACATGCTATGATTGTTCCAAAATTTTTAATGGATCCAAATTTTAATTATATGCATGATCAGTAAAATGTGTTATAATTGCTCTCGCGTGGGTGGGTGTGTGCATTATTTTAGTAATATTAGTTTATTTATTTATTTACTTACTTACTTGTTTATTTATTTATTTATTTAGTTAGTTAGTTAGTTAGTTATTTTTTTAAACGTAAGATCAATGAAAACCCTACAGTTGACAAGCGCTAGTTTCTGCCTCGTGTAAAAGCATAACCCGGATTATTTTACATAATACCTCATGCAATGATGAGGTTAATTTACCTCATGTAGACGCATCTATCACAGCTAACGAACAATTTGATACAGGTAAAATATATCGCATATTATATATATATATATCTAGAGAAAGAGAGAGAGAGACAGAGAGAGAGAGAGACGGGGGGAAGAATATAGAGAGGGGAGAGGAGGAGAGAGAGTGAGTATCTATGCGAGAGAGAGAGTTATGTACTGTAGATAGATAGATAGATAGATAGATATAGATAGATAGATAGATGCGGAGTTAGATAGATACTATAGACTAGGATTTAGGATAGCGTAGAGTAGAATAGATATATAGATTAACGATAAGATGAGATAGATAGATAGATGTAGAATAGAACCTAAGATAGATTTAGGATAGATATATAGATAGATAGATAGATAGGATAGCATAGAATAGGATACGATAGCTAAGATTAGAGTAGATAGATAGATAGATAGATAGATAGATAGATAGACTAGAATAGAGTAAGAATCAGATAGAATAGAGTAGATAAGATGGATGATGAAGATAGATAGATAGATAAGCTAGATTAGATAGATAAGATAGATAGATAGATAGGTCTAGATAGATAGGATAGATATTATAAGATAGATAGAATTTTTAAAGATAGATAGCTAAGATTAGATAGATAGGATAGGATAGACTAGATAGAAAGATTAGATTAGATAAGATAGACTAGGATGAGTATAGATAGATAGATAAATAGATAGTATAGATTATATAGATAGAATCTAGATTAGCTAGATAAGAAGTAGGTAAATAGATAGATATAATATAGTATAGATAGGATTGATTTAGATAGGATAGATAGGATAGATAGATAGATAGATGAGTAGGATAAGTAATAGATAGATCAGAATAGATAGATAGATAGATTAGTTAGGAATAGATAGATAGTAGAAAGATAAAAAAAATATCGATAGATATGCTATATTTTCCAGGATTGTTGTAGTATTATATAGTATTATATATAACAATGTAAGAGTTTTATTATTATATATAATATATATATAAATAGTCATATATATATATATATAATATATAAATATATATATATATATATATATATATATATAGTAATATATAATATATATATTATATATATATAGTATTATAACGTTGCATTTATACAGATGCGGCAAGAGCGAGAGCAGAGCAGCGTGCATGCGACAGCAAGCGAGTAAGCCTCCCAACGCTTGAAATCAGTAATTAGCGGTCCATTCTCTAACTCATAACTGGAACGATTGTATAGTACAGCTAGATCGTCGGCGCAGACGGACGACGAGACGGGCCGAGCGGTCTGTTGAGTGCTCACTCACGTCACTTCAAATGGTGGTGCTGTCCTCGATCTCGATCCGAACCACTCTGTCAGGCTGGTTGGGCCCACCCTATTTGAGCATATAAATCGCATCACTCGCGAATTTCACCGCGAGATTAGCAGACTTTATTAAAGAAGCATTTGCTGTTGGCTGAGTCCCCGTCTAATATAACCAAGTCTTAATATATATATTATAATATATGTGTGGTGCTGATTCGTCGTGTGTGTGTGGTGTGTGTAGGTGCGGTGCGTGCGTGCGTTGCGTGCGGTGACTGTGCGTGTGCGAGTGTGTGTGCATTGAGCGCGGCACTGCTGCTGTGTGTGTGTGATGTGTGTGTTGTCGATTAGTGCATGTGTGGTGCTGGGGTGTGTGTGGTGCGCGCACTGTGACGGTGCAGTTGCGTGTGTGTGTGCGTTGGATGTGTGTGTGTGTGGTGTGATGGAGAAGCACTGTGGCTGGTGTGTGTTGTGTGTGCGCGGCGTCTCGCGCGTCTCGCAGGAATGTACCTACGGGCGGTGAAAAAAGAAGACAAACATTTAACTCGGATAGCAATACCGAATAGTGCTAATAGAGATTACGCATGAGTAAGTATATTATACAGATACGTATTCATACGTCACTACGATGGAAGGTTCTATAGAATTACTTAATAATATGCGAGATATATATAACTATATTATATATACGACTATTAATTATGTAGACTAGAAAAATTGTATTTCTCCGTAGTGTCTTGTCAACATTTCCTTGTTATTGAATCGTTCTAGTGTTTGCTGTCGTTCGCCACTAACTCGTTCACACGCATCTCACATGTTTCACTTTGCGCTCGGCAGACGGCAGCAGGGTCGCCGATGCTGTCGCTGACTGCTCGGAGAAGTTTAGTGACAAGATAAAGCGAAATCGCACTACTTTCTCGACCGCGCAACTACAAGTTCTAGAGAGAGCCTTCCGCCGGACGCATTACCCCGACATATTCATGCGCGAGAAGCTCGCCATCCGACTGAAACTGCCGGAGTCTCGAGTACAGGTAAATCATTGAACTTCCGACATCAATTTTACGTGATTCATACGTGACGTATTCGCGTAGATACGAGTTGATTAGTGCGACCAACCTAATGGCCTCGTTACAATATTAAGCGATTCTCTCATTTCCTGCGCATGTTTCATTATCTGATCAAGTTAGTTTTATGATAATTATATTGATTGATCATCTCGTCTTTATGACATGCTCCGCTGTAAAGCCACGACTGTGTGTTGGCTGTGAACATTTGCCGTGTATTAATGCGCGGATCTACCTGCGCGTCCAGGTATGGTTTCAGAACAGGCGGGCGAAATGGAGGAAGAAGGAGAAGAACTTACATCCGTTCGAGATGACAGGAACAATGGGCATACCCTATCCTTTCCTGCAGCAGTGGCCTGCTGCTAACACGGGATTTGTGGTTAGTATAACTCCATAATATGAGAGTGAGAGAGCGAGGGAGAGAAAAACGAAGGAGGGCGAAAGAGAAATAAAGAGAGATAGAGAGCGCGTAAGAGAGATAACGAGAGGGAGAGTGTGAGCGAGGGGAGAAGTGAGTGACATGACAGAGGGAGAGAGAGATCAGGAGAGAGAGAGAGAGAGATCAGGAGAGAGAGAGAGAGAGAGAGAGATGAGGAGAGAGAGAGAGACGCTGACTTACATGTATCTTCGCCGGCCACAACCACAGGCTTGGAGAGCGATCAGCTGTGTGTGTGCTTGTATGTGTGGTGTCTGGTGTGCGTGCGTGCCGCTGCGTCGCGATGCGGCCTGTGTCGTGTGTGCGTACCGCGTGGCGTGTGTGTGTGTGGGGTGTGTGTTGTGTGTGTGTGGTGGTGTGTGTGTGTGAATTATATGTTCGTGGTGTCGTGTGGTGCGTGACGTAGTGTGTGTTGTGGCGTCGTGTGTGTCAGTGTGGTGCTGATGTTGTGTTAGACGATGGTGTAACTATGTGTGTGTGTGTGTGTGTGTGGTGTGTGTGTGGTGTTCGTGTGCGTGAAATGCGTTCTGGCGAGCGTGCGAAATGCGTCGCGTCGCGTGTTGTATTGGTCGTGCTCATCCGTGGATACCGTAGTATCGTATGTGTACTATACCATACAATATGATCGCCGTGTGCGTGTGCGTCAGTGTGGTTTGCGAATGAGATATGAAGTGTGTGGTGTGTCTGTGTTTGTGTGTGTTGTGTGTGCGTGGTGTGTATGTGTACTGTAGTGTATGAATAGTAGTAGACACACTACTGTGTGATGTGTCGCTGCGTGCGGTGCGTCGCCGTGCGTGTGTGTTGTAAGTTAAGTACGTAGTATAGTGTGGGTTTACATAACAAATGCGAGATGTAAAAGTGACAGTGCAAACGCCGTGTAGTGTTGTGTAAATGTTCCGTGATCGAGAGAACGGTTGTTCGTGCGTGCGTGTGCCGTGCCGTTTGTGTGCGTTCGCATGCCCCCACGCTGCCGTGTCGCACGCAATAATGCGCTGCCTCGTCGGCTTTACGTATGTGCTGTTCGCGCCTGGCGTGGTTTAAGCGCAGTGCTTAGCGCGCACTTGGCCGACGTCGTGTTCCTTCTAGATATGATTGGCAATGACAAGTATAAACAAACCGATCAAACATCTTGGTGTTGAATATAATTTGTGTACGATATGGTTGCATAGTTCAATCTACTTGCTAAGTTGAGCGTACATGATACGAAGTAATTGTGCGAAGTGCTATCGATATACCGGACGTTAACAAGATTTTGTTATTATACAAGTTAAATGCCATGGTGTTATTACAGTCCGGCTTAATATATAGTGTATATATATAATATATATATATATACTCCCACCACCATCACACCACCTAATATATATACTATAATTTTATTTTACCAAGACCATAAATGCGAGTCGGCGCGATTGTGGTAGTGTTATAAACTTCTATAGCGCTACGACTGTGTAGAAGCAATTTCGCCCCGTGATTTATACTTACATGGGATAGAGAAAAAACTGATAATCACGTTAATATATATCATGAATCACACTATCCGTAGTTCATGTTGCATGTGTCTAGGATGCTATATGCTGAAATTCTGCGTGCGTATCCGCTAGTCCCCCCCGTGACGTCATACACATCTGTGACCTCACCAGCGACACATCCTCATGCTACGTTACACCATTTTCTCTCGCCCAACCGTATTCGTAAAACATAATCACATACACACAAATTTTCGTGGTCGCGAATGTGCTTCCATAAATATCTTAATGTAGGTTCTTGCATGTCATCTCGTTAAGAAGAACATCATGGTTTTAAAGCCACCTAACATGTTTAACACTGTACTGTGAAGATCATCATCTGCGTTGTCGGCACCACTCCTGGACCGCATTGTATCGTACCGCAGGCAGAAGCAAGTCCACGCCAGACACACAGGCGGCACACACACCGGAGGGACGCGGGCCACCTTGTTCGAATATTGCCTGCGTGTGCTATGCAGCGTGTCGGCTACATAAAACTACACACGCCGACACAGCGTCTAAGGTTCGTAAACGCCCGGATAGCGATCGAGCAAGAAGCCGGACGTCGCAACTATGTAGCGAGTCGAAGCACGACGGGCGCCATCTCGGCGTAAGTGTGGCTACCCGTCCGACGGACGTAGCTTGCGAATAGCGTCTCCGGACGGGGACAAGCTGCGATGCAGACGCACCGGAGGCGCCCAGCCGCGCGGGGGGCGTGGCGTGGCGGCCCAGGAGAGCCACAGCAGGGCAGCGTCCCCTCGAGGCGCGCCGCGGCGCCACGCACGCAGACATAGACACTAGCTGAGGAGGGAGCGGTCGGCTGCCGTACGTCATCCAGAGAGGCCTCCGGGTTGCGGCGAGGAAGAGGCGGATGAGGTGGAGGCCCGATCGCGACACACCCAGCACCCGACAACTCAGAAAGCCCACACGAACCAGAGCGCCCCTCTTCGCGGCCGTCGCCCATCAGCGACGCGCCTAATGGTTGTGCACACAAGTCGCGCTGAGCAGGATTGGCGACGGACATCTTGAGAATATAAGAATGCATGCTGGCGAACCTGTACGCATCGTGCGGCATGTAAGCGCCACGGCAGAGCACATCATGTAACACAGGTGATGTTAGAGCCACAGCATGTAAACACAGCGATGTCAACAACATGGTAAGGCACAGCATGTAGTCACAACCTGTAGGCACAGCATGTAAGCCACGAGTGCATGGTAACCACACATGAGAACACACAGCGGTGTGGAGAAACTGAAGGGTGGCGAAGCAACGAACATGTAGCACACGCCAGCCTCATTAAGACACCTGGTATTACGGCGTGT